ACAGTTCTGTGATCTTCTTCTTTAGAACCTTATTTCAGGTTATGTATTTGTTCCTCCATGTAATCAATGTGACATTTAGCATTATAAGCAAGCATGGATCTGCAGAAGGTGCAATCAGAGCAGCAATAGACTTCCTTTTCTATATAGTTTCTATGTACCCTTTTATGCAGGAAATCTCAGAGCTTAGCAAGAAGGAGAACTTTAGTGGTGGAGCAAATCTGCTCAGTTCTTACAACCACAAATATAGCAGCATCTATTTTTTCCTGACTTCTTAGATTATTGAAGCTGTATGAAATCACTCTACACAGATGCCTCATAAGGCATCTCTGCAAAGCTGAAATGGGAAGATGGGGGGGAAAAGTTCTGCTGGAAAGACAGAGGCAAACACCCTATGCACCTTACCAGAGCATGGTCTCCCTTAAGATTTCTTTTGAATAATTTCTACTGTGGAAAAGAAAACGTTTGCCAAAGTTTTTATTGTATAAGTGTGCAAATTAAGTATTTAATGAAGTACAGAATAATAAAGAAAATTATGCTTCATGGAAGATCTTTTATATGTAGAAGTATCCCTAGCCTGCTTTCCCTTCTTCCATCCCTGGTCCAGCTCCTAGTAAATTTTTGAATTTCATTGCCAATTTTAATTCATTTCCAAAAATATGAATCCTTTCTGAGACTAAACCATATGAGGCCCCATTAGTATTTGGGTTACACAGTGCTTGCCTAAGGTCACATAGATAATCAATCATAGAACCACAATTTGAACCAGGACTCCTAAGTCATAGTCCACTTTCATTCTGTTTCTTATGTGGTCTACTTCTAGTATCAGTGGGAATTTCACCGCTGCCCAAAGGAAAACCAAAGCTTCACTCCTCAAGCATCTTGTTCATGGAAAATTTCTTTTAGTTGTTAACTTGTGTTTTCTGGAAAGTATTAGATTACATAATATAAAACCAATAAATCTGATAAATGTCTATAGAAAGACAGTCTCACTTATTTTTAACCATCAAGCTTCTTAACTCAGAGCATGCATCCTCAATACTAAAACCAACTGGACCTCTGAATTCTGATCAAAAGCTTAGGATATGGGTTACTGGAACCCAGCAATGTACTCCTAGACATTTGCCTGTTTTTGTGGGCAATTAAAAGAATTCTATAAATCAGAGAAATGTAAGTTCATATCCCTTTGACGCCACATTTTAGATATGTGAATTCAGCCAAGTTATTTTCTATCTCTGAGGCTCAAAGATAACACACCTTACATGGTTTATATGACTTAGGGTGAGAATGTGCACCTTAACATGGCTTATTGAAATAATTAAATGGCACAAATTCCTGGTATAAAGTGCTCAAGAAATTATCACTATGTCTTACCATTTATTGACAAAGATCTCTATACTAATATTACTAGGGCAAAGATTGATATATATGTAAGGTCTGATATATTAGTTCAGAAAATAACTTTGCTTCCATCATCTAACTAGATAGTTCATACTATTTAGTTAAATAAAGATATACTGAGTTTTGAATATGTGCCAAACACAACATGAAGCCTGACCACAAGAAATGACAGGTATTCATTCAGTTCCTATTTTTTTAAGTTTATTGTATTTATTTGGAGACAAAGAATGAGTGTGCAGGGGCTGAGAGAGGGGGGGGAGAGAGAGAGAATCCCAAGCAGGCTCTGAACTATTAATGCAGAGCCTATTGTGGGGCTCGAACTCAAGAACCATGAGACCATGATCTGAGCTGCTGAAATTGGACACTTAATTGACTCAGCCACCCAGGTGCCCCTTCAGTTCCTGTTTTTAAGGAGCTGACAGTTTCAAACCTATCTGACACATGATACCTCCTGTGTTCTTAAAGATCTCACCACACAGTTGACAACTAGGTTCTCAGTTCTCTGAGCAATTCCTGTGTGTGTGTGTGTGTGTGTGTGTGTTTCCAATTCTTTGAGAATCAATGCATCTCCATCTCCTCTTATTGTAGGTGTCTGAAAAAGGAAAGAACAGTTGGGAAACCCCTTTTCATGTAATAAGCCTTAATTCCCAGAGAGTTATTGATTTATTCCTCTGTCTTCTCTTTTGAGATTAAATAATTCCAATCCCTTTAATCTTTACTCACAGGTTCTACCTGCCAACCTTCGGTTTAATCATTTTCTCTGCTTGCCTCTGGAATCTCTCCAAGTCTTCTGCACTAAATATGTAGCTTTTGCCATTGAGTTTACTCTCCTAAGAAAGTTATTCTTCCGCATAAACCAAGAAAGAAAGAAAGCACCCCCCCCCCGAAATAAAGAGAATAAATAGAAAGATACATTTCTTATGTAAGGAACCCATACAGGACAATCATATGCTTAAAGCCAAGAAACATTTGCTGTCACTGGTATTAAGGAGAAAGGGACAAAACCAGAACAGTTTCTAAATAGTGCCAGTCATTCTGCTTCACAATTACCTAAATTACTTTTAAGCAGGTAAGACTATTAACCACACACTTGAGGCTTTAGTTACACTGAAAGTTCTCAGAAGCATGCTAATAAAATCATTGTTAATGAGATCAAACAGGAATTTTTAATTCTGTAAAATACCTCTGGCCATCAAGTCGACCATCAAGGTGGTTATGTTATTTACAGGCAGTGATTTTGTTCAGTCCTGGCAAAGTGCAAAGGACCTTTCTTTGCATTCTGTCCATCCCTATAAATTAATATTTTTTGAGTTGAGGAAGCAGCAAATTCTAAGGGGCTATTAAGAAATGATGTCGAGAGGCTGATCAAATACACACTGATCATAGTGTGACACCAACACATGCAGAAAGGAGCGGATAGGAAAACCAGAACTCTAGTAAAATATCTCTTCAAGACATGCACAGTGACTTGTCAGAAATCTTCTCACAAAAATCCCTCCCCACTCTTTGCTCTTATTGTGCCATTGAGATGAACCTTCCCCCTGTGAGCCAATAGAATGCCTAAGCTCACTCTCACTCTCTCTTGCACTCTCTCTCTCAAGAATCTACTGATAAGTTTCCAAATCCCCTCAAGAAACTGAAAAAACTCTTTACTAGATCATACTCTGCCTGTTTCAGGGATTAGGAAATAAACAAAACTATTTTTCCTTCCCCATCTGGAAAAGTTAGAAGTATACAATTGGGTGAGAAGAGTTGATTAGCAGTGGGAAGGTAGAGAGAGAAACCACTACTTCCCCAGGGGTGGCTGCAGGAAAACAGGTGGTAGCAGTAATCATGTTTGATTATTGAAGCTAGTTTCGCTGTGCCCCCATCCTGGCTGGCCTAGAACTGGCCAGGCTGAGAGAGGTCTGTCAACAATAGCCACGAGACAACCAACTACATTCTGAAAAAGCCTCCAGGCCAAGTTCTCTGCAGATTCCCTCTCTTCTGCATTCAAAATAAATTAACGATTTCATGTGGAATTTTCCCATGGAAAGTGTAGCCTCAAAGACAGTTCGGTCTATCATCAAACAATGAGTTAAATCCTAAAACAGTAAGTGATCCTTAAATCAGCAGCAGTTAGGATGGCCATGAACTTATAACCACAGAATCATAGCAAGAAGCACTGTCATGGGTGATGGTTTGCTAACTGTTTAACTCCCAACTGATGATTCATTATATCCCTCTTACTCTTGCTGGTCGGTTCTCCATGAGAACGATGCACAGACATGTGCCTCAGGTGTTTGTCCAAGAGTGAAGGAAAGGCACAGGTACACAAAGGCCACTGGCAAATGTATGTACAACTGAAGTTTGGGAGCTCTAAACCAATGGACGATTAAAGCCATAGCGTATTAAATAGATTTGTGTTGACATAGATACATGGTAACTTCATAGCTACCATTTTTATAAAAGATTTCAATTATGACATGGTATGACAAATCACCCATGATTTCATTTATTTGGTGGTAAAGATAATCTTGTAAATTCTTACCAAGCAGTAAGAAAGTGAGAGTACTGATATCGATGTATGTTACTTTGCAGTGGTTATGGAAAGTGGCCAGTAATGCCAGGTTGATAAATCATGAGTAGACACAACTCCCTCTATCTAAATATGTACTTGGAAAACTTACACCAAATTTTTTTCAAAGAAACAGCAAGTTGCACTATCCCACTATAATACCCATTGCATCTTGGGAAGCAGTTTTTATTCCATTTGACTTTGAAAAATACTATCACCAGTACTGAATACGGGCATTTGTACCTTAGGAAGAAAGGGAAAGTAAGGGAAAGAAGAGAAAAATAAGTAAAAAATTAAGACTGGTCGATTTTCAAAACATCCATCTCTACTAAGCAGGTGACATTTTCAGGAAGGCTTTTCTGAATCTGAAAAAGTAAAATAAAATTTCTGCTGACTTTCAAAAGCCAACCATTTGGGTCATTCTTGAAAAAAAACAGCAGATTAAAGGAGCTCCATTTATAAAAATCAAATGAACCTCTAACAAAGGTTGTTTGGGACATGAATAAATCATCTGGTCATGAATTATTTATTGTTATCAAGAAATGAGCTGGGAAATTCCAGGAACTGGACTTTAGGGAGGTACTGAAGCCAGTGAGTATTGAAGCCAATGAACTCAATGAATGAGTTCATTGGAAGTGAGAGGGCAGGCCACAGGGTACCATCATCTGAAGCAGGACACTGGAGTCTCAGGGGTTGCTCCTGCAGCATTGAGACCCCAGAGCATAACGCAACTAAAGTTTTATCCATAGAATCATACTTTAGAAAACTGCAGCACTCAGTAACAGACGGGAAGATTTTGTTGAGCACTGGATCTTTGTTGTTGTTTTTTAAATACACATGGGGAATATGAGCTGTTTACAAAAGCATAGAGGTTGAAAGTTGCATTTAAAGGAAACGGCTAGAAAGTACCTAAATAATAAACTATGAAGTGTAGTCTGGCCTACTCATTCGTGGCTTTGGGGGTTGGCTTTTTGACGGGGGTTGGGAAGAGAAAACGGGAGCCACTCAGATTTAATCAACTAATCAACATCTATGTGTGTTCCAGGTCCAAACTGCTTTGCAGGAACTACAATAATCCCGGCTGGCATTGAAGTGAAAGTGGATGAATGTAACATCTGTCACTGTCACAACGGGGACTGGTGGAAGCCTGCTCAGTGTTCAAAACGTGAATGCCAAGGCAAGCAGACTGTGTAGAACAAATTCCCAACCGATGAGGAGTTCTTAGGAGAGGATGCTATGGCTTCCACACTGCACATGTTTGAAACAAAACAAAACAAACAAACAAACTCCTGCCAGCTACAACAGGGTCACCAGCAAAACCTTTTAGGGTTGACAAAAGTGAATATTTTACTAAGAGGAAATTTCTCTCTTTCTCTCTTGCTATATAAGATATATAGAGTATATAGCTATCTAAATCGCTTTTGTAATTATCCATGCTTGATGGTGACTTGATGACTGGATTTCTGAAACATAAAGGAAGAAACAGCCTCGTACAGGCTCCCGTTCTGGTGACACCTCTAGCCAGCCAGCTAGCCGTCCGCCGATTAACTTCATGTTTACTCTTCTGTACATCCCACATGGCATTTTTCTCTTGTAGTATTTCTTTTTCATATTTAGAGCCTAAGGGGCCAGATTTGACTGCACAGTTAAGTTTTGAGTTGTGTCACATTAGCTTTAGTAAAGGAATATCAGGGGTGAGGACCCTTCCTGACCAGGAAGACACAAAAGCATCCAACCAATCCCTCGCATCGGGTGGAACATGCCCTTGAGGCTCAGAAAAGAGAGGTGGGTACAGACGGATCCACTGCTTGGGCGGGGCAGGGAGCTGATGCTTGGTGCCATATGTGGGGGATCACAATTCTTACACACAACACATTTCCGACAAAAAACCTTGAAACTGCCAATCAAAAACTAATATGGGAAGAACATCATGAGCTTGACTTAAGAATCCAAAAGGAGCCAAGAATTAAGAATTGTAGCATTAATCACCAGACATTCTCATGATGCTGAATCTCAGTCCAGTTTGTAACTCAATACACTCTAAACCCACTCTGTCACCTGGCCCTAGAAATACCAGAACCAGAGTGAGTGGACCCACTGTGAATCTGAATCCTTCTGAACACTCCTGGCATTTTAGTTCAGATTTGGTTGAAAGCCAGTAGTACCCACAGGCAGTTTTTATGGTTTAGGACTGCGTTTGCCATGTTTTCGTAATGACCACTCAGCCCTATGTCTAAAACACAGATTCAGGACACTCTTTCCACCTCAAGTGCTGATTTAAATTAAAGATTAGGGTAGAGTGAGTCTTGCACAATACAATTCCATTTGTTGAACATTTTTTAAAATGTATATATTAGATACTGAACAATTAAAGTGAACCTTTGAAGAGGCTCAAGGTTGCCCTGGTAATGCTGCTCGTATAGTAACAGAAAAAATAAAATACACAGGGTATCTGATGCCACCTCAAGTCAAGCATAAATATGGGGATTCTGAAACTACATGGCATAGTTAGTTGCTTATTCCACTCTCCTGTCTTGAAAAACCTGGCATGGATCTGGCAGGGTCCTTGAGGAAACTTTAAAGTTGTCTTCATCACCAGTGTTCTTTCCTTTTCCACTCCCACCCCAGCCTGGGCTTTGCCACAGCCCTCACACAGTGCCACATTCTAACACAAGGTTTCTGAAGTTTAACTCTGTTGACGTTGTGGGCCAGACAGTTTGCTGTTGCTGGGGGCTGTCCTGTGCATTTTAAGGATGTTTTGCAACATCTTTGGCCTCTCTCTACTAAATACCAATAGCAAACACCCTTGTTGTAACAACAGATGGTCTCCAGGCATTGGTAAATGTCTACAAAGAGTGAAGAAGGGACAGTATTTTACCTGGTTGAGAATCAGAGGTTTAGAATAATCAGTACAGCATGGTTTCCGCCAGGGCGGCACACCAAGCAGACTCTGGCTGAGCCTGTGGCTTTGGTGAGCCTCTAAGCCCTTTGGGACATGTGCTACTACCAGCAACCCCAAGGCAGAGAGAGGTCAGTCTCCTCCAAATGGAGTGAGGCTTCTATAGGTCCATAGATCCACCCTCAGGACATAATTCTTTAGTCTCATCAACTGGGTTTTCATTTAAAATGACCAGCTTCTCCTCCCTGGAAGCACCTCCAGTCATCAAGAAAGAACTGTCATTTCCAAAATTAACATTGATGAGTTGGACCTGACATCTCTCACGTACACTGTGCTTGTGTATGATACAAACAGCCATGCCGGCACCATCTGAGGAAGAACATCAAGCCGTGTTCCCTTAGAACACCAATTTGCAGCAAGGTTGGTACCTTTTGTTGCCACCATGGATACATCATATAGACAGTCATGAATCATTCATGAACAATTCTGCATGATTTATTCCTGCACTCCAAAGTAAAGGCATTCCATACTTCAGCTTGTGTCTAGACAGAGATGTACTATCAAGCTTTCTTTGCCCTGAGGTTGCCTGGTGCCAGCTTCAAAAATCCACACTCTTAGAAAGAAATAATAATAATAAATGGCAGGAAAAAGGTTTGAAACCCAGAAAATATCATTAATAGAGCCATGTAGCATAGTACTCTATCTATTATTAAGGAGTTACTATGTCCTTTTTAGAACACAGAGTGCAACTAGGGAGCCAGGGTTCAGACAATTTGCATCAAAGTCTTGGCACAGTGATAGTTGCAGCAAGAACTTGCTAGAATGGAGTGTAATATCCATCAAGCAGCTCTTTTCAGAGCATTTGCAGAATGAAGGCTGCTCTGTGGCCTGTTACCAGCCAGAGAGAGGGGTTTCTTTTACTGTTGGATTTTCTTTTTCCTCTGAGTTTCACTACAAGCTGTTTCCTTTAAGACTTTGTAGCACTGACATTTTTCTCCCTTTAGGGAGAGATGAACCTATACTGTGACAGAATTTCTCATAAACCGATAAACATTTTACAACTTCCTTCTATCCAGGTCATTGAGAAATTCTTTCCAAACTCTGAACCACAGAGTTCTGGTCTCATCTGTTTGTTTGTTGTTTATTTATTTACTTTTGAAGGCTTTGTTTTCAGTCCCACTGTCCCCTATTCCTCTCCTCCTCCTCCTTTGGTTCTTGGCTTTAACTACAACTTTGTTTAAATAAGGGATCAACATCCTGTTTGTCAGCTGATGCCTGTTAAAAACGATTCAGTTTCTAAAATCTTTGAAAAATGGTGTGCCTGAAAACTAGTGAGAAAAAAAAAACAACTAAACACTAAACTGTAAAAAGGGGATTCTAGCAACAATATTTGATGTGTAAAAGACTATATTATTAAAAAATTATTTTGTTAAATATAAAGTGTGTTAACCAGCAAACATTGTTTGTGGTATATTTTCCTTCCAAAATTTTCTTCTCTCAGCCCTTATCACTTAATAAGTCTCAGTGACTTCTGTCATCTGAAGTACATGTGTCATTAGACCCATGTTCAATTCAAATTAGGCATTAGCTTCAGCGTTTGCTTGTGTATATTGTCACGTTTCCTAATATAAGGCAAGGTTGACTTGGGATCAAACAGGAAGCTCAAATAAACCAGCAGTGTGAGTGCAGTGATAGGAAAAATAATTTCCTGACCCTGCATCCGTACATAATACAAATGATAATCTATAATTATTGAGTGGCTGCTCTGTTGGCGGGCCCTGGGCTGAGCAGTGATCCTGCAGCAGCCCATTCAATCCCACAGTACGTCTGCCAAGGAGGAATTCTTACTACCTCAGCTTTGTTGATGAGGAAACCAGAACACAAAGGGGTTCAGCGATTAGCCCAGGGTCATAGGTTAGTAAGTGGCAACTTGGGAATTTCCTATTATATATACAAATATACACAAAAATCAAGAAAATAGTACAGTATCAGGAATCTCCATTTACCCAATTCCCAAACTCAACACTTATCAAGATTTTGCATTATGCTTCATATATCCTTTTCTTTCTAAGCCACCTGGGTGGCTGAGTCGGTTAAGCATCTGACTTCAGCTCAGGTCATCATCTCACAGTTTGTGGGTTTAGGCCCCGCACTGGGCTCTGTGCTGACAGCTCAGACTCTGGATCCTACTTCAGATTCTGTGTCTACCTCTCTCTCTGCCTCTCCCCTGCTCAATGCTCTGTCTCTCTCCATCTCAAAAATGAATGTTGAAAAAAATATTCTTTTCTTTCCTTGAGTATTTTAAAGTAAATATCAAGCATCTTATCATTCCAGCCCTACATCTTGTGGTAAGCATTTCCTTAAAAAGGGATACTTGCTTACAAAACCATGTTATATGACCAAAGCCTAACAAAATTAGGAACTCCTAAGTATCATCCTAATATTCAACCCATCTTAACAATGTCTTTGATTTTCTAAGATAAGGGATAGGGGGTATTTGCATGATCCAAATTGCCCATAACCTTGCATTTAGTTGTTATGCCTCCTGAGTTCAAAATGGGGCTTTCACCCTACCAACTAACAGCTGTGAACTCTGACAGAGTCATGAATTTGTTGTTATTCGAGGGTTTGTTCTGGGAAAACTACTGTTTTTTTTGTTTTTAATATTTTTACTTATTTCTAGGAGAGAGAGAGAGAGAGAGACAGCGTGAGCAGGGGAGGGTCAGAGAGAGAGGGAGATACAGACTCTGAAATAGGCTCCAGGCTCTGAGCTGGCAGTCAGCACAGAGCCCGACGCCGAGCTCAAACCCATGATCCGCGAGATCATGACCTAAGCGAAAGCCGGACGCTTAACCAACTAAGCCACCCAGGTGCCCCAGAAAATTACTGTTTGTTTTTTTTTTTATTTTTTTTAATGTTTTATTTATTTCTAGGAGAGAGAGAGAGAGAGAGAGAGAGACAGCATGAGCAGGGGAGGGAGTCACAGACTCTGAAACAGGCTCCAGGCTCTGAGCTGGCAGTCAGCACACAGCCCGACGCGGGGCTCGAACCCACGAACCGCGAGATCATGACGTGAGCGAAAGTCAGACGCATAACCGACTAAGCCACCCAGGCGCCCCAGAAAATTACTGTTTTAAAGCTGCATGTTAAGCTCCCTCCTAGAGGCTGAGCAGGGCAAGCAGTGGGCAAGAGACTTTCTACCAACTGATCTCCAAGGGGCAACAAAGAGCCTCAGAGCTAGAACCCTTGTGGATGACCAGCACCCCAAGGGCGCTACTTCTTCTATGTGTGCAAG